TCATACTGAAATCGCAATGGAGAATTAGAAACCACGCGTCATAAACTCGGAAGTTTTTCTTTTCAAGACCTTGCTTTTAGAGAACAAAACTCCCTTCAAGAATCAGTGACTGGCAAACACTTATTTTATAGTCGCAAAACAATAGTATATGTATGTATGGAAAAGATTTCAACAACGAGTTTTGCGAAAAGAAAAGATAAAGATCCAAGATTTAGGATTACTCCAATATATTCCCATTTGTGATAGACCTACTCCCGAACTGTATAGCTAAATCTTTCTGCAAAATTGTAGGCAAGATGCCCTAATCTTAAGCTCACAGAAATGAGCGAAACTTTGGCGATTGCCTTAATCATGAGAGTATTTGACTCACAAAATGCCATCAGCGAATCATTGAGGCTCCTATATCTCACTCCGCATGTTTTCGAAAATAACCCAATCCTGTTATAGATAAAGAGTTTCATACCATACAGCAGCTTTGTTTTGGAAGGAATTCATTTATTATAAGTTATGGCTAAGAAAGTGAAAACAATGAAATTTATTTTGAGTGCATGTGTGCAGAATGGTGGTGAAATTTCCATAGGTGAAGATAGGATTCAACAATGGTGCCTAATTCTACTGTTGAAAAGTGCACGAAGAAAGCTCTAGTGACACAGTGATATGCAAAATGTCGAAAAAGAAAGTTTAATGGAAATAGGTTATTCGCAAAATAGGCCTAGAAAAACGGACATAAGTTTTGCATCAGCCAAATATTACAAATATGAAATTTTGAACCTATATCTAGAGTAACTCATGTTTCTAAAGTTATTAAAACATCGTTTCAGGATGTTGGCAAATACAGCTCAAGGCTGTAGACAAATGAATATAATTTGCACTACTCCAGCCGGTTACTCGGTTTCGAACATGGAGGTGAGTCATTTGAAAATTACGAATTTTTACTCCTTTGCACATATTTATACAGTTTAACAACTTTGGCCCACCACCAAAGACAGGAAAGAACATCGCCACTTTGGTCTCATGCTTCAAAGGAATGTGGCGTACAACATACCAAGGATCCTACATGTAAGTGAGCTACATTAATCTTAGCTTTGTAGACTTTGGCTGATTTCAGTGATGATGTTATAGTCAGACGCATATGAAAATTCATCGTTTTAGATACCTGAATTCGGTGAAATGCTATGCAACTTGAATTGCAAAATCCAAGCGGCCAGTGTGTCTGTGTTCAGCTCACCTATTCTTAATAAAGATTTTTCAACATATGCCCATAGGCACTGAATTAAAAAAACAT